CAGCCCAAAGCTCCTTGGCAGAACCAACGGAGCTGTACACATTGTACAACTCGTTACTAAGTCCATTCAGGACATAGTTCCGGCAAAGGTAGTCATCTTGCCCCCAAGCATCATACGCAGCGCGTGGTTCAACATTGGTCTCATTTTCAGCAACGATCGGGGGATCGTCCTTCAGGTATTTCACCAAACCCAAAGTGGTCTGGTAAAAGTGCATCTTTTGTTGCCACCTTTTAAAGTAAAGCCCGTTGAATTTTTCGGGCTTTTCAGCTGTAGGGACATGAACAGCCCGTACGGGATGATGAACAATGGTGTTGATCAGCTGCTGAGAGCTTGAACCTGCTCCGGTAGATGCCATCAGTTCAGTAGGTTGACGGATATTCTTCTTGCGATTGTTGGATATTTTGTGTGAAATTACACGGGAATCCTACGAACTGATATGTAATTTTCAGTTCTTACAAATAATCTAAAAATAGAAAATTACAATTGAACTGAAGAATAAAATACAACTGAAAAACGGAAAGATTTTTAGCCGAGGCGAGTAAAACTCTTTCCGCAAGAAGAATACGCCCCATGTGGCAGCTAACGGTTCAGGCGTAACTTCTCCAAAGATACAACGACAAACGTCTCTAAATCTGTAGCACACCAGATTTACGAGCTCTGGCGAACGGGAACGGAATCGAGAATTGAGCACTTAGTAATAAAGAAATATTCTGAAACAAATAAAAATATCACTCGTTCCTTTTCTTTTGATACTTTTATATCCGGTATTTGGACATAAATATTTCTTTTCTTTCTTTTCTTTTTCTTTCTTCTCTCTTTCTTTCTCTTCTTCTTTTCTTTCTTTCTGCTGTATTCTTTTCTCTCTATTGTTATTTTTTCCTTCTTGAAGCACACACATATATATAGTAGGATAATGACTTCAAGTTGGTGGTGTTAGGCAGAAAATTGTTGAGGTTGGGTGTGAATTTGGTAAGGTGGCCACCAACATTAATTTCTTCACGCATGAAATTATCCAATTGGTTGAATTGGTTTAGCAAATGGAGGTTGAGGTGGTTTACACTCACAATTATTCTAACATGAACAACTTCATTTTTTTATTGTTTTTTTTTTTTTTTGTTTCATTTTGCAGGTTGAATGTGAACCATATAGTATAACGAAATAATTTGGTACAGCCATATATTGATGAGAAGCATTCAAAGAAGAATGCAAATACTATTATTTCATTTGTATTTGCTATGAATTATACTGATGTTTTGTGGAGTTGAATATATCTAAAGACTGTTGAACTTTGTAAATCATGCCATTGAAGATTTATCATGTTCACTGTTTGTTGAAGCCGTGATTGTCTTTACCTTTTGCAGGAGACGAAAAGACTGTTGGCTTCGAAATGCTTTCACGAGTTTAGTCAAATAGTAGCTCAAGCAAATTGAGCAAAAGCACCGTTCTTGTCACCAGCGCCGGCGGTAGAATGGTAAAAATTCAGTCTTGAACACTTTTTTATTTCAATAATCAGTGCGACTACAATGAGGGACTTCTTCGGCGTAATCTCTAGCACGAGTCCCGAAGTGGTTGTTGTAGCCGAGCAGGAAGGGGAACACGACTGGACGGGCTAGGAGTCAAGGCTCTGCAATTCTCTGAGGTACTACGTGGCGGTTTTCGACTCGGTGGATGCGGGCCTGCTTTTGGGAGCGCGGTCTGGTTGAGGGTGGAGGAGATGTTCGGTTGGGGGATTCGGAAAATAATCGCGTGCAAGGGTTGTGAGAGGCACGATATGACCAGGTGTTCGGGAGGTGGATGGAGGTGATGTCCGGGGCCGAGTTTCGGAGTCTGAAGATTGAGTCCTTCACATGGACATTGTTGATATTAGGTCGGCAGAGACAAGAGCAGCACATATGTTTCTACGCGTAAACTGATATGTTGTTTAGTTTTGTTGATATTAGGTCCTTCACATGGCCATTGTTGGATTTCAATGAGATTTTCTTTGAGTTGTGGCTTTGAGTGATTTCAGGTACCTGAATTAGCGGTGGTGATTGTGGGGCGGAGAAAAGATTCACAAGGCTATGTCAAAATGAAAAGGAAACCCTCTGCCGAAGTTGGTATCGACTCCATTGGTTTTGAAGGAAATCGACAGGGTTGTTGTTCCCGCTCTAAACGGTTTGGCCTTTAAATCTTTGGGTGATCTTCTCTTTTGATTATATGTGTTCCTTTTAGGTGTCTTTTTACTATATGTTCACAGGTTTCGGTCCTTTCATATCCAAGAGCTGCTTGATTTCGAGTGTGAATACCCAAAAGCAGAGAAAGCACTGTAAATAATTTACACCTTCCAGATTTTATAGTTTAGAATATTGCCAGGTTCAAGATTATATGTTTATGTATGTGTGTGTGTGTGTGTGTATATATATATAAATAAATAAGCAACGTATTCCTAATTAATGTTTCATGAGTAAATAATTGAACCATTTTGATTTGATTTGTATTGTGGTGTGCAATTAGGTGGATGATTGACGGGTGACTAAACAAAGATGGTTAAATTTTATAATTGCTTTGTTTGCTTATTGCTTGATGAATGTTGCTAGTGTGCTGTTATTGTGTTTTCTATTGATTTTTTTTTTTTCTTTGTTGTTGGTGTTCTGTGGTTTTGAGATTTGGTCTAATTGATTTTGTCTAACTGTTATGTAGGAGATTATACCGATCACACAGGCTTTCGAGAATCTGAGGTGCTCAAGAGAGGGTTTGTCGTCATCGGAAGTTAGCACGAGGCTTGAGATTATTTGTCAGAACAAACTTCAAGAGAAGGGAAAGAATGAATATTATCTTATCAACTCCAAGATGAGCGGAGAGTCATTGGAGAGAAGCAGCATTGGGGAGCAGCTGATCCCGCTCCTAAAATGATCTGGCCTTTAAATCTTTGGGTGATATCTCTTTTTTGTTTAAAATTTTTGATTATACGTTTTGTGTTTTTTTTCAGCACCTACGAACTGAAAAGCATGCTTTTGAGTTTTCACAAACATTTAACGAGTAATGTTCCGTAAATTTGTTCACTTGAAGCCGTATATGGTTTGTTCTACAAAAATCATATTCATAAGTGGTACATTCTTTTACAAAGATCATATTTATAAGAGCAGTGTTCCCATCTTAGCCTTGGCAGAGGATCAGGATTTGACTTGTCCACCTGAAGTCGTATATGGTTTGTTTTCTTCTTCTGCTTCAACTAACAGACTTCCTGAACTTCCTAACATTCATAGCAGGCTTTTATTCATCTCTTACCCAATTTATGTTGAGCAGAAATTGTGCAGCTCATTCCTGAGCATTTGGTCACGTATAAAGTGTTTTGTTAACCTAATGGCACACATTATGCCCACGACGACTTGTTGGGAGGACGTATGATAAGTATGCAATTTCACGTTTTCTTTTTTGGTTAGGAGTATTATTCATGAAATTGTTACTCAATGTGTGGCAGGCTGTGGAACAAATATACCTTTGTATTATCAAATTTCTAAGCCGTCCTGACTCGGATCAATAATCAGTGGATTATGATATCCTAAGCAGCTAATTACGCGTTTTTCTGGCATTATCACCTTATCTTGGTTGGGTTCGTTTAACTGGTGAGCTACTCTAACAACATGTCTTCCACAGAAATATGAAAAGTTACCACAACTATCTCGAGGTATAGATCTAAACTCAAATTTAAAACCCCCTTCAGGCTTAGCGCAATAATTAAACTACAAACAAATGTGAAGAGGAGTGTATTTTTGGAAGATTGATTGTTCATTCTTTTCTTTCCCTTTTTGTTTGGTAACTATGCTATGGTTTTGCACTTATTTTAAATATTTATAATCATTCTTGTGATGTTTACTATGCTGTGATGTAGGGTGTACCTGAATGTTGTTATACACACAGGATCCTCAATATATATAATGCTAAGAGTTGAGTCTTACATGAAAGCAGCTGATATATTAAGTGATGTGGTTAGTAATTTCTGATCTTTTTTTTAGTGTGAAACTGTTTCAGTTTTGGTACTACTCGGGATTTTTAAATGACAGATTTCTTATGTTTATTTCTTACAAATGCTACAATTGCTGTCTAATGATAATTATGATTTAATGAGTAGATAATCATACTTATAAGAAATGCATACTCATATATTACTTTTGTTTATATTGTGTTCTAAAGTATGTGCATCTATTGAAACTGTATGTCTGGCAGCCAAAATGAAGAACTACCATTTTTTTATTCCTAAAATTATATCGTAATTGTAGTTTCTCTTGTTAAATGTGACGTATAATAGTATTGGCATCTCATGTTTCATGGAAAACTTGTAATTACTTATTGAGTAGTAGCTTAGAAATCGGTTTAAGGGAGAGAGAGAGAGAGAGAGAGAGAGAGAGAGAGAGAGAGAGAGAGAGAGAGAGAGAGAGAGAGTCACCAAAGGCATGCAAATGTTCAATAGAAGCTTGTAATAATTTATTGAGTAGTGTCAATCAACATTTCACGCAAATATAATTTGTCAAACATAGATACATTTACAATGATCCAACAAGTATAAATCTACTAAAACTATCAAACGACCATATCTTAAGAGAAATTAAGGAATGAGTAGTGATAAGAATCTCAAGCCCGGATGAACTGCTGTTGTTCCCGCTCCTAAAACTATTCGACCTTTAAATATTTGGGTGATATTCTCTTTTTAGTTTATATAGTTTGATTATATGTTTTGCGTTTTTTTCAGCACCTACGAACTGAAAAGCACGCTTTTGAGTTTTCACAAGCATTTAACGAGTAGTGTTCCGTAAATTTAACAGAAAGTGGTCTTTTATCGAGATGAGAGTTCTAGAGAGATTTTCTCAAAGTTTCGAATACAAATTCTTTCAAATGGCGTTTGCTATGAAATGGGTGGTCGACCCGAACAACAATCCCCTCCCGCTTTGCTCTTCGCATGAAAATGTTGTTCAATCGCCTCAAGAATTACGGTATATTTTATTTTTAGGTATAGATTGAAAATGCGTGTTCTCTGCGGTCTTCGATATGACGATCTGTACGACCTGGTGTACGATCTGGATGTGAAGGAGGCGCTGAATCGGCTTCTTAGACAAATCGTCGATGTGAGGAATCAGCTCTTTAAACGCGCTCTGGACCTCTCCATGAAGCATGCCTACCTTGCAGAAGATCTCCAGGTATTCATTTATAGTGCTTTGGATACGCGCCCATGTGTCTGGAAGATCGAATCCTTGATAGGTGCTGGAAGAATTAGTGGAATTTATAATTGATATGTGGATTTAGATGCCGATTTTGGCTTTAAGCGTCTAGGGGTCTGGTGTGTTCTGGGATTTCTAGATACCAATATAGTAAGTAGTGTGTGCAATTATTTATTTGATTATAGGGAGACACTAAGGCTGCTTTATGTTTCTTATCAATTGTGAATTGTGGCGAGATGTTGGGGCGAGATAATAGTTAATTTATCTGATTTTTTGTGCTTCTGTTTGAGCTGATTGAGGGGCTTAACCATTAGCTGAGCCAACAACATTAGTTAGCTCACAATGGGTGATGGTTGCTTATGTCCCGAGTTTCATGCTTTGTGTTGTGGCCTGTCTTCCTTGCGAAGTGTCTGGTTCTTCATTGTAGCGTGGTTTAGTTTTCTCCTTGTAGGAGTTTGCTCCTCCTTTGCATTGCATGAGCAAGGAGCTCTCTTTGCCACTTGGTTGCAGTTGTAAGTTATTATTGAGTTCAATGATATATTATTTCATAAAATAATAAAAAAGTAAAAACTTGGCAATAAATCATTTAGTCCATTGCATGTTTGTTAAAATTAAGCATCCCTGAGAAGGAAACTATGTGATGGGTGCTGACCAAAAAAAGGCGTGAGTTGTGTTTATTTTGTTATATCTTACATACTAGTACAATGCCCGTGTATTACACGGGTGTTTGCTAATTTTCTTTTTAAAATTTAAAATTAATGAGAAAAAGTAGTTTGAAAATTTAAATACCTTTTATAAGAATATATATATTATTATATATTTATTATGTTACTTTTTATATGTGCGACTTACTTGTGTTATATTATACTAATTTTTTAACTTACAATATATAACTACATTAAATATAAATATATCAATTGAGAAATAATTTTATTTTTCTAATGAATTTTAATGTATAGGGAGGATTACATGTAATGTTGTTTGTGAAGCCTATGCAAGCAAGTGATGATAGTTGTCCTGACTGAAGTAACCCGTTCAAAAGCACCAGTTACTGAAGAGCAACTTTTGGTGGGGAAATATGCTACACGTTCATTTATTGAACTTCTCAGCAGACAAACCGTGAGGTTGATTTGCCACTTAAGTTGGTTGATTTGTTACTTTGTTTTTAGTTGGTTTAGTGAACTAAAAAAAAAAAATTATGTTGGGTAGATTATTAGGTCAATGGTAATCTCTTACTTTTGAACGCAACTTTTACGAGATATTATGGTGAAATAGACACTTTCTTAGAGGTTTTATGTGATTTTTGGATATTTTATCATGTTGTGACTCCAACTTTACGAAGGATTCATATGAAGTAATTTCAATCTACTATTAAAAATATTGACAAATATATGTGTATTTACTTTCGAGTCCGATAAATATATGTGTAAGGCTGGACACGCAGTATTTTTGGGGGGAAACAAAAAACAATCAATATTTCACAATTATAGAATAAACTCGGGCCGGCTGTGCGTGCACAGCCCAGAGCTCACTAGTCTTTTATCTTTTACCTTATCTACAAAAAGGAAGTGAATGCCTCCCATTTGACACGTGTCTCCTACAATTTGGTGAGGCCACGTCGCCTCTTTTCAAAACGACACCGTTTCAAGCCTTTCTGTTTCTTCTTCTTTTTCTTCCCTAAAATTTTCGACCAATTCATTGAAGTCGATTTTTTTCCAGAAAATTCTCAACATGTCGATTTTTTTATCTTCATCGTAAAACTTTTGGTACCGATCTTAGGTTTGTTTCAACATTCTTCACGTTCCATTATTAAATTGTACAGATTTTTTTTCCCCATCTCGATGGCGCAGATGCAATTTAGGTTTGCCATTGTGTAAATCTGTTCGAAGCGGTTGAACCAGCGGCAGTTGTGGAGGATACCGATTACGACCCGCTGACCGCGTCACAGCTGCGGCAATGACGACGGTGAAGGAAGACGAGAAGGACCGGAAGAGGAAAACGACGTCTTTGGATCCAGATTTGCTTGCGTTGATGCAAACATAATCTAGGCAGAGGTGAGAAATTACTTTTCAGGGCATGAAGAAGAGATTACCATGCCTCCTAGGTTTAAGCGCACTGGAATTAGCAAAGTGAAGGATTGATTGATTTCTTCATTACATGTAAATTGTGAAATTATCAAAAAGTAAGCACCGGGATTTACGAAAGAGGAATTTTTTGTTTTACTATGCCCAACTATGTAGAAATATTTTGGTAAAAATTCTGATTTTTGGCCACAATATAACAAAATTTGATTAAAGAGTAATCAGATTATATGGACGTTTAAAAAAAATGTTACAAATAAAAATAAAAAAACATCCCACAAAAACTTGTACTTTTTGGTTCTCTTTTTTGTCTATTTATTTCATTTGGATTTTGGGTGAAAGCATGGGTTTGGTTAAATTATTGTTGTGTCGTCCCAAAAGCCATAAAATTAAGGTTGAAAAGACTCCGTAGCCGCGCCAGATAGGGTCGGCGTTGAGTTGAAGTCTCATTCGCCGTCGCCAGAGGCGGTGACTCAGGCGGATTGCACGGCAGAGTCAGCGTGCGGAGGCGCAGATACGATGGTTGAGTACAACTCTACCGAGAATTGAGAAGTTTATTCTTCAACTCGGTTGTATATATTGGTAAATGTTCGTACTGTTTTTACTGTCCGTCGGGAAACATTATCACTTTCTTTGCAGGATAATATGAATTACAAGAAGTACTGTTGCCTAAGGCTCGATAGGTCATCCACAATAATGTATCGTAGGGACATGGCAAAAGATTTCCAGCACCGGTAACTGTTTTTAAACTATTGGTGATATTTTTTACCGCTTGGAATCAGTGTTCACCTCCAAAAATTTTTGCCAAATTTTGTTCAGGAGTGATATCTTTTTGTTCTTGTTGCAATTTAATTTTCCAGGGATGGTTTCTGTTGGTGAATGTGATTAACATTCAAGGTAATTCTCAGGTAAAAGTGATGGTGCAGGCACAAGATTGTCTCCTTCATATGGGTATCACATCAGAAAATGTCGCTCATTGTTTTAGAGTAACGAGGCGGGAACAGGTTCAAGTTGCAGTAAGTTCATTGTAAGGAATTTAATTGTCAGAGTCAAGCTTTATTATTAAATTTGATGTGTTTTCCTTTCTTATGATTTGTAATTGTATCTTCATTTTTTATGATTTGTAATTGTGTCTTCCTCTCTTATGAATTGCAATTGGCAATTTATCCCTTGAACCAGGATGAAAGGACAAGAGGCGGTGCTGATGGTGTTTGATAAGATGATCAAATTGATTACCATATACCTTATCATATCGTGAGGCTTCACCAAAAGCGTGAAGAGGCACTTTCTTCTACATTTACAACCGCACAAGTCAAGCGCTACATATCATATGCAAAGACTCTGAAACCGAAGATTTTAAAATAGCCCCCTAGAAATGCTAATTATGATAGTATAATATGTGAAAAATGGTTTGTTGCTTGAACGAATTTCATTTGCTATGTGCTTAGCTCGATCCTGAATCAAGAAAGTTGTTGGTGGAATCTTATGTTACTTTAAGAAGAGGGGACATGACTCGTGGTGGTCGAGTTGCTTATCACATGACTGTAAGGCAACTTAAGGCCCTCATCCGGCTATCGGAAGCCCTTGCTCGGTACCATTTTCATACTAAGGTATGCGTATTGTTTTTCTTCTCTTTTTTTCTTTTTTTTTTTCCTTCTTGGCATTAAGTCATTTTTTTTGATATGGATGGAATAGGTCCAACCTCGATATATACGTCTTGCAGTGGCATTGCTCAAGACATCAATAATCAAGTAAGAAAAGCTTGAACATTATTGTGCCCTTTACTTATAACAAGTCTTTTCGGTAAACAGCGCATTTGGTTATGATTATTACTATCATGGCCTTGCAGTGTGGAGTAGATCGAGATTGATTTATAAGAGTTCCGAGAAGATAATAATGAGGAGGGTGGTGATAGCAACAACTTCAATGGAGATGATGATGCTTCAGGTCATGTCGAGATGACCTTGAATGGGGCAGCATCTCAGCCGAATTCTCAAACCAGAGGTCAGTAGTTTTGCACTCAAACCATGTCATTTAACCAGAAAAAAGAAAGAAAGAAAGAAAGAAAGAAAGAAAAGAAAAGAGAAAAGTACAAGTACTTGATTTCATTTTTGCTACATGTTCATAATCCAGTTGGGCTTCGACTCTTTTTGTTCAAATTGATTGCCAAGATAAATCTAGGTGGAGAAATGATAAAACTCTTGAGGTTATATGGAGGGGCTCACGGTCCCTTACTGCATTTTCTCAGGTTAGTTATCATGAATTCTATGTCCAACCTGTCTGCTCTATTTTAGTTGTACACTTGTACTGTGGAAGCATTTAATAAAATTTTCATGTTAGAATTCTCATACCTCCCTGACCACTTTTGGCATGCAATCCTGTCCAGATATTTGTGAGGATATTTCCCATTCATTAATAAATTTGGACAACTAAGATATCACATGACATTTTAACCACTACTTTGTTCATTTATCAAATGACATATTTTATGTTCTGGCTTTATTCAAATCTTTTTATTCACAAAAAAGTTACCGGCCAAGTATTTCTCATTAGTTAATATCTGCGTCATCTCTACAAAGTTATATAAATATATTAATTCTTCATGCTTGATCATTATGCGTTATTGCCCTATTATGAAGCGGTCAATTGCTATAGCATGTCCTGGAACACGGGAAGCCACATGAGTGATCTACCATGCTTCAAGAATTAGTCAGAAAGATAGTTCAAATGAGCCAGCAGAAGCTTGCTTCAAATGATGTTTAGAAATGCTTATCCTTTGGCGATGTAAGTGAACGCAAGCTGTTGGTGAACGAGACGCTCGAAACAACTGATGAGGATGAGCCTCTTCAGGTTTGTAGCAAAATATATTGCGCATGAGCTTATTGACAACCAGGTTTGCCTGAAAACAAACCTGAGTTTCATGTGGCGTCTCATTTTTAAGAGACCACGCTGTTTGTGCTAAATCCCGTCTCCTTCGAGTTCGAGTTCGTGACTCAAAAATGGAGGAGGACTCAAAAATGGAGGATCATATAGCGTTGTTTCCAGAGACGAAGATCGAGTATAGACGGACTATAATGGCCCTTCGAAAGTACGTTGCCATGCATCTAAAAGATTGAAAGCCTCGATTATGGTTACAGTATCAGGTATACCCTTGATGCGTCCCGAGGAAGTTACTAATGCGGAACGAAAAAAACTACTTATGAATTTTATAATTCGTAAATTCGATGGTGCGAGAGACATGATCTTGAAAACACGGTCCGATAATTTTTACTTAATTGGCCTGGAGAGGGAAATTGATCAATTGGAAGTGGGTGAGGATGTGCCCTCCCAGATCTGTTTCCTGGGCGATGAAGAGTTACTACCAGATGCGGAACCTCTTTCATACTCTGGTGCCTACCTAAACATAGGCGACCAATTAAGAACTAACCTTCCCGTGGGCAGAGAGGCTCTGAGAGCTGCTTTGGAATTTCTCTCTATGCCGAAGGCAAAGCGACAAAACGACACCTTCTACTGCGGCAATGAGTTTAGGAGAGCTTGACTATCTGTAATTTACCATTTTTCGAGGCGGCACGATTCATCGTTTTGGAAGATGTTATTGCAGAAAATTTCGAGCTCGGAACAAACCTCAAGAAAAACCATGTTGATATTGTGAGTGTTTGGAAGAAGTCCAGTAGGAATTCTCCGTTGTTAAGTATGATTCTACTGGACTTCTTACAAACACTCACAATATCAACATGGTTTTGTTTGAGGTTTGTTCCGAGCTCGAAATTTTCTGCAATAACATCTTCCAAAACGATGAACTGTGCCGCCTCGAAGAAATGGTAAATTACAGATAGTAAAGCTCTCCTAAACTCATTGCCGCAGTAGAAGGTGTCGTTTTGTCTCTTTGCCTTCGGCATAGAGAGAAATTCTAAAGCAGCTCTCAGAGCCTCTCTGCCCACGAGAAGGTTAGTTCTTAATTGGTCGCCTATGTTTAGGTAGGCACCCGAGTATGAAAGAGGTTCCGCATCTGGTAGTAACTTCATCGCCCAGGAAACAGATCTGGGAGGGCAAATCCTCACCCACTTCCAATTGATCAATTCCCCTCTCCACCTCTTCAGGCCAATTAAGTAAAAATTATCGGACCGTGTTTTCAAGATCATGTCTCTCGCACCGTCGAATTTACGAATTATGAAATTCATAAGTAGTTTTTTTCGTTCCGCATTAGTAACTTCCTCGGGATGCATCAAGGGTATACCTGATTGTAACCATAATCGAGGCTTTCGAGTCTTTCAGATGCATGGCCACGTACGTTCGAAGGGCCATTATAGTCCGTCTATACTCGATCTTCGTCTCTGGAAACAACGCTATATGATCCTCCATTTTTTAGTCCTCCTCCATTTTTGAGTCGTTCGTGCTCGAACTCGAAGGAGACGGGATTTGGGGTTTTTTTCGGGGGAATTTTGTGTAAACAATGTCTCTTTCAATATTAGCAGAAAACAGTGACTTGTGTAAACACTGATACCCTATAATACCAGCGAAAATAAATAATTTTCAAGTAATTCAACAGTATTTTCAGGGGAAATATGTGTTGATTTGAGAATGTAAAAGTGTATTATGTATTTTTTTGCAGCCTAAAAACTTGAAGTCCGAATGCGTAATCTTTCAACATTAATTAAATTTTCACTTATCTAACTTGATGAGCCAAAATAATGGACTCGTCGAGGTTGTTGGTCGAACCGCCTCATCTCGATGGCGTGGGAGTTCGGCCGTCCCAATCGCCTTCATCTTCAAGACCGGATCGACCTGCAAAGCACCGGGGCGGGGCTCCGGCGTAGACACTCCGACGCTCAAGTCAGAAAACAGATATTTTGATCATGTGTCTTACATAATCTTATAAGCTTAGGATTAAAAAATGAACTAGATCTCTTATTTATAAGGGTTTAATGACTTACTCCCAAGATAATGAGTTTCCTCAATAAACAAGAACTCTAATACTCCTCAATAATTGTGTAGATATACACCAACTTTCATGAATATCTTTAACTACTACCGTGTGTCACATAAATTAGCTCTACACTTTCTTGGTCTGGCCTATCCGAGCTAACTGCTCAGGCCCGGTCTACCGAGTTATTCTTCGTGCAACATCATCTAGCCCCCCACTCTAAACGAGCTTATGAACATAAGTCTCATCTAAGAGTAGAACAATCATGTCCCGCCCACGTATATATCATAGGACTATAGTGTCGGGATCCTGGGCTCGTCTAGCCCTCGCAGTCTAACACGTCGGAGTTATGCAGCCATCTGCATGCAACTATGCTTTTGGGCTAACATTGCACTTTCATTGACTTTGTAGCCCCCGAGCAACCTGCTCGATGTTCTGCCATCTTAAAACGCTTGACATTCATACTATCTGCTCAAGTTGTAACAATGACCCCCATATCTACAGTCTCTCGAGCTCTAGGAGCTCGGGCACCACTACGATGGGCTAATTACCCTTGATCTAGCTACAAATCAAATACCCGCTGCCGAGCTCCGAGAACTCGAGCAATGCCACGACAGACTTTCGCCCTGAATTTGAGCTTATAAACATGACGATACGGCCGAGCTTATAACAACCAACAATCCTGCCCTCGTGCAGCGTCGAGTTTAACTTCATGTCGGGCTAGGATAAGCTCGACAATCGTTTGAATTAGTCACCACCAGCTCCGCGAGCTCGAGCGACGTCTTCGACAAGTTTTCGCCCTACCTCGATCATCGTCGAGCTCCACGAGCTACAGCGACATCTTCAACAGGCTTTCGCCCTATCTTGATAACCGCCGAGCTCCGCGAGATCGAGGGACATCTTCAACAGGCTTTTGCCCTATCTTGATAATCGTTGAGCTCCGCGAGCTCGAGCGACATTTTCAACAGGCTTTCGCCCTATCTTGATCGCTGAGCTCCGCGAGCTTGAGAGAGATTCTCAATAGGCTTTCGCCCTATCTCGATCACCGCTGAGCTCCGCGAGCTCGAGTGACATCTTCAACAGGCTTTCGCCCTATCTCGATCACTGAGCTGTGCGAGCTCGAGCGACATCTTCAACAGGCTTTCGCCCTATCTCGATCATCACTGAGCTCCGCGAGCTCGAGCGACATCTTCAACAGGCTTTTGCCCTATCTCGATCACTGAGCTCCGCGAGCTCGAGCGATATCTTCAACAGACTTTCGCCCTATCTCGATCACCGCTGAGCTCCGCGATCTCGAGAAACGCCACATCGATTCTTTCAAAATCGCATCGAGGCTTTAGGCTAACCCTGCACTTATTTCAGCATTACAGAAAAGCTTGACCGAAGATATGTAAACAATTAATTTTTCTTTACAAGAAATAACCCAAAGAAACTTGTCATGATATCTACACTTGATCATTGAAATGAGTAGAGACTAGCTTATGTACCTGGAGCCGAAAATATCACTGTGGCTGGCCTTTTTAAGAAAATGATCAGGGTGTGAATCTTCTTGTCGAGCCTTTCCAACCCTCGTACAAGGGTGTTGATTTTCTCCTCGAGCCAAATCTCTGCGGAAACAACCGGGGCCTGGAATATATCACCAGTTTCAAGAGCCAAACAACAACCAACAATTTTTTCCATTCAACTCGTCCCTTCGACCCACTAAGTCTGACAAACAGCTAAGTTATGCTGTTGCGCATGTCAACAAATCCATGTGCTGCTCGCTCGCACGTGTCCCCACTCGCTTAAAATCCAGCCACCAATATGATTCTTCTCATTTCCCTTTGAAGAAACTGAAGTTGTTCTTTCTTTTCTTTTTCACGCTCGTAAAGACCAGCCGGCGGCTGCTTTTCTTTTTTCTCCTTTTTTTTTTCCTCGCTTACTTCGGGCATTACA